TTTCACAGTCCCCACTGTGCAACTCTAGTTTCTCATCCTGACATAATTTGATGTTACAGCCTGTCATTGAGCCTATCCGTATTGCTTTTGTTTTATCGATATTAATTTTTAATCAAGACATTTTAAAATAATCATTGAGAGTGTCAATAGCTCTACTTACACTATCATTAGTCCCATCTAGAAATATTTCTGTATCATCAGCACACTGTGCAAGTTTATGTTCCATATTATATTTGATATTTTATTGCATTATTATCACGAAACATTATTCCCAAAATTTCCGCAACTAGGATGAATAGATAGGGAGACATTGGGTCTCCTTGTCTACATCCCCCTTCGTCATAGAAGAATGAAGATATGTGTCCATTTTGTATGATGCATGGAGAAGCATTATTTATGAGTATATATATATATATATATGTGTGTGTGTGTGTGTGTGTGTGTGTGTGTGTGTGTGTGTGTGTGTGTGTGTGTAATTGTTTTGAAATAGTATCAAAAGCTTTATCAAAATCTATAAGTAATAGTAAACCAGGCTTTATTATGCAACTTGATTTCAAACAGGATGTCATATACATGGTCACACCCGGTGATTGTGAAGATCTCAAATTCTATCAACAGTGAGACACCATGTTCATATTCATTTCCAATATCCTCTTAGAGTAAGTGATAAATGTTAAGAGTTCCACACACAACTTTCTCTTATAATTCTTACGAAATACCAGACAGAAAGTGGGTTGTGGGAAAATGGGACATATTCCTACGTGACAAAATAAAACATAAGTAGTGGTGACTGTTCTTTCATAATTGTACTGTCTAAAGCATTAATTTGGCGAACGAAAAACGTTATATTTGCAGTCACCTGGAATGACTCAGGTGGGCAAAACTTAAAACGAATATGTCCGCAATCCACAAACAATCACTTCAATAATGCCGATATTTAGCAACTCGCGACAATCGTGTCAACTCGAGGTTCCCCTAGCAATAAACTCGCTTCTAAATTCACTACTGTTCTACTGTCGCGTAGCCACAATGGCTAGACTGGACCCTCGTGGAATGGTTCATGCCATAAAAGTCCAGCAACCTAACACTAATTAAGACGGGCCGACCTTGCGTTTATGGTCTGGTGAACACAGGTCAATGTCCGCTCATTAACTCAAGATTCACATCTCACTGTTTTGATTTATCTCACTATTCATTTGATATATTTTCTAACTTCAACTGAAACCCGGTCCCGTGTTACACGCATGGCACACGCGTGTGCAACGAGTGACCAACGCGTGCTCAACGGGTTGCACACGCGTGTTCAACGGACGCACAACCCGTGTGGAACCCGTTGAGCCCCCGTGTCACATGCGTGTTACACGCGTTCTCAAGGCGTGTTAGGGGAATGAACTTTTAGGCAGTAGTGTAGTTGCATTTTGTTCGCTAATACATCGTCCAGGGATAATGCACGTTTGGTTGTCATGAAAAGAATATCAAGTGTCCTTTTAATTCTGTTTGCTATACAAGTACTTAGAATTTTATACAATGAACTTTAGAAAGAAATTGGTCGCCAGGTTTTTAGTAGTTGTTTATCTTTAGTGCGTTTGGGCATAAGGCATGACACCTCTGTTGAATGTCAAAATTTGAAGTGTTATTTCTGAATGTAATATATCTGTATACTAATATTCCAAGATCCTTCCAGAAACATTTGAAACACTAGCTACTATAAATCCATCAATACCAGGGCTTTTATTATTTGTCATAGATTTTACAGCTTTTGTTATTTCATCCATGTTAATCATGTTTTCTAAATAATCAAACTGTGATTTACGTTTTGGTATATTGAGTTTGTGTAATAAATTTTGGTTCACTTGTTATTCCTCCAGGTGAAGAGTATAGTTTCTTATACAAGTTTTTTGTTCAGTTAGAATTGTTTGTTCATCGGTTATTATCTCTTAGTTTACTCGTATAGTTCCTGTTTTCTAGATGTTCAGATGGTTTCCCTCCTTTTTGTTTCTTATTTGTATTCCCCTTGATTCTTCTTCTTCCAGTATTTTATATTTAGATATGTCTGACAGCTTTGATTCCCTCATATTCTGAATGTTTCCCTAATTTCCCCTTCTCTTTGTTTTATCTTTTCCGCTAAGATTTTGCTTTCTTCATTTTTGTGGAAAAAAATATTGATTTGCCTCTCACTTTTATGAAAAATGTTTATAAAAAGAGAGTATCACGGATTTTTAATTCTAAGTTCAGGTCTTCAATTGTTTTCACTTCATCTTTAGTATATTTACGGTTAGAATAATCTAGCTTTGTTTCTTCAAGGGTATCTTTCACTATTTGGATATATACATTGTTAAACAGTAAAGATGTATTCAACTTCCAGTAGTCACTACCTCTTTCATGGCTTAAGAGCGCTTGAAAAAGTCATAGTTATTGCAGAGTGATTAGATTTGTATCCCGGTATAATTGTAGAATCAGTAGCTGTATTTGCTATGCCTTGTGAGACCAAGAAGAAATCTAGTCTAGTCTGTTGTAAACAACCTAAAGTTGCATTTCTCAGCATCTTGACTTTTTTCTCTCCAAATATCAATTAGATGAAAGAGTTCTGTTTTGTTTTCAAGTACTAACCTTCTTGCTTTGAGATTGTTGATATGCTTATAATTTTCCAAATCGACAGCTGGATTGAGTACCAAGTTCAAATCGCTGCATATAACCAGTGATTCGTATTTCAAATTCGTCAATATTATTGAACTAAAAATTGCAGAAAGTAGGTTCATCTTGATTTGGCCCCTAAATATTAGTCAGAGTTAACCTTATGCCCTCTATTGTGATATCTGCTATTATATAGTTTCCATTAATATCTTGTTTGATTCTATTAATTTTTATTTCTTAATTATTACTAAACAAAATAGCAACTCCTCTTGCATTTGACTTGTAAGACATCATTTATTTCTCATTATAGATACATCTTCTTTAGAAATATGAATGTCTTGTAGACATATTAAAGGAACATTTTTTTCTTTCGCCATAGGTTTATTACTTCTTTAAGGTTTTTTATCTGCTAGTCCCCTGCAATTTGCTTATACTATTTTGATTTTGTCACCCATATTCAGTGCTTTCCAAGGTTGTTATTTATATCAAACATTGGTACAAAACCTACTGAAATGCATGTATCACACTTAGTGGTGGTTGATCTAAGTGATGACTTCGGCATGAACAACACAAGTCCGTCTGAGGGTCCACAACTGTTTATTTAGACGATGACTCTAGTGCTCTCCCTCTCAGACCTCTTGTCTGGTCACTTATATACCCAGGGTCGTCAGCTAAATCCTTTGTTTCCAGTGGTCAGTGCTTTGTCATTAATGTCATAATTAATCGCCTGTTGATATCCCTCCGACCCATGACCACCGGTCACCCTCATCATAATGGGGTCAGTCCCTGGTCAACCCTCATCATGATGGGTTGCGACTGTCCGCCAAGCGACACGCTGTCGGCCCATCTATCTCTGTGACTAGGGGACAAAGGTGACCATGGTTCTCCACTGACCCGTGCATTAGTAGGGGCAGCAATTCAGATAGATGCATCTCTTTACCCTTGATACATGTTTTAATGTTTGTGAGAAAAATACATTGTATGAAAACATACAATAATAATATAAACAAAGTATATAGATAGGGTAGCGTTTCCACAAGCAACATGTATGTCCACTATGGGTATTACAAATAAAACAATATTACCATGGCGAGAACTGGGTGTGTCAATGGAGCCATCAACTGACCTGTCCTCAAACTAGGCCAAGGAAGGGGGGTAACTCACGTGAGAACATGGTAAAGCGAAAGAATAACACCTCAACATAAGACAATGTTCATTATAGCATCTTAAATCATACCTAATTCTAAAATATTATCTTTTGTCGAACAACATCGATACAGGTTGTCCGATACCCGTACCCACCTATCGGCATTGTGGCTCGCAGTTCCAGGGGGAGTGTACAAATCACGTGATCTGTAGTACCGGTACAGGTCATAGATAATTATAGCGATGCACGTCAAAATTCAAAAACGCTGTTTCTATCTGACAAAGACACATCTGTATGATGCTTGAAAACATTACACTGCTTGCGTGTTGTTCTGCATGTGCATTCCAGAGAACCAAGTTTCATTCTGTCGAAATTCTTATGAAGGATATAAATAGGAAACAGATGAGGCGATTTAACTGGTTTGGGAGGGTGGACTCAAATGAGCAGCATGACCTGGGTGGTTGTGTGTCACCCTACCCTGGCGAACCGTTGTCGGTGTTTCCACAATCTGGGCTGTCTGATTTGTACTCGTTTGTCTGTCTGTTTGTTTGTTTGTTTGTTGTTTAACGCCGCACTCAGCAATATTCCAGCTATATGACGGCGGTCTGTAAAATAATCGAATCTGGACCAGACAATCCAGTGATTGACATCATGAGCATCGATCCACGCAATTGGGATCGATGACATGTATCAACCAAGTCAGCGAGCCTGACCACCCGATCCCGTTAGTCGCCTTTTACGACAAGCATAGTCGCCTTTTACGGCAAGTATGGGTTGCTGAAGACCTATTCTACCCCGGAATCTTCACGGGTCTTGTACTCGATCATATAGAGATCGCCGTCATTTAGCTGAAATGTTGCTGAGCGAGGCGTTACAGACAAAAAAACCCAAAGAATCAAGCACTGTTATCTCCCATCACTAGAACCAACAACTGGTTTCAATGGCAAAGCTAAAGCAAACCACGCGCCTCCGATTCAGAACATTCTCGTTTACCTCCTTGTGTTTACTTGAGACTTGATTGAAATGAGTATGTCTGTTACAACATGTTGCCTGGCTGGTTGTGTGTACCTCTACCCTGACGGATCGTTGTCGGTCTTGCCACAATCTGGTTTGGGTGGCGATTATGTTGCAATAATTCACAGCATTCACTCATCCGCTGTTTCAAAAAAATTCAATAATACAGTACAAACGTAGATACGATGGAGTAAAACACAAAGCGAATACTGTAAGGATTTATTTCACTTTCTAATTGTACATGTGCACGTGGCAACATATCTTCTGAAAAAGCACCATAGTCATAGGTCATTGAAAGGAAGAATAAGATGTAAACAAACTATTGTTGTCATTCTTTTAAAATAATTTGTGACATAATTCTATGGCTGCACATCTACAAACAACCGTAGTCTCATAACCATATGATATGGTGAACACTTCATTATGTGATCACTGCAGATCGCAAAAGTTGTATTTGTCTGAAAATATGTGACCAGCATTTATCTTTAGTCCGAGTGAGACAAACAGCAGCACCTACATTCTTTTACGTCTTACAGATAGATACAAGTGCTCGTGCAGTTTCTGCGGTTTGTTCTAGATGTGGTATAGAGTTGTAGTGATTAGTGCACATGTAGATAAATTTTATATTATCAGTGCAAGAGAATAACCGAAACAGATTCTATTTGGCGTAAACAACAGATGCGATCCAATGTCCATCTCGCTCCATTCACCGCATCATTTGAAGGACGCTTTCACCACCCTGTCTCCAAGAGGCATGGTGGGCCGGAAGTTGTTTTCAAGGTGTCCACCGTGTGGATCTTTCAGGTACCTCAGACTCTTCAGCTGCAACCAAGGAGGTTAGTTTCAAAACAACACTGAATATATACCAGTTTGATTGTGACGTGTCAAAGTCATGTTCTATGTGACCCATTAAAGGTTACCAACTAACCAACACTTTTGTGAGCTGTGAAAGTGATCAGTTCTAATTGAGAAACTAGTTCGTGTGTCACTTAGCTGACACAGCATCACCTTATTCCCGGATACGACACTGAAAATACTGAACTGTTTGATAATTGTAGAAATAAGGAACATTAATTGTTCCATAATTTATTAAGTAGTATCGAATACATAGCAGTTCTATATACACAATACACCAAGTATAACCTTTTTGACAAATCGGACCACTGGCAATGGACCTGTGTATTTGTAAGAAGAACATATATCAAAATGGTCGTCTCTGATTTCGAATACTCTTGATGGAAATTAATACTGATCTTTTAATAAATACAGAAATAAGGAACAAACCTGGCGTTCAGACACTAGGATGGGTTCTGCCATTACTATCCATGTGACACATTCCGACAAAGGGGGCGTGGTCAGAGATCCAGGGTAGGTATAGTACTTTCTTGTATCAGCTGCAAGAGACCAGACATCAAATGTACTTTTCGACAGCATTGTCAGTAAGGTCTCTCACACACATGGACACTTTACACACATAGTATTCCTGCGGAAATAGGCTTCTAGTTACTTCTGTTACCTTTTAGAATTCGACTACTAGGTTAGTGGCTGGTTGATACCCATAGACAATCACAGGTCTATCTGGTCTATTCACTCACTCACTCACTCACTCACTCATTCATTCAGACCCGTGAGGGTCTATAAAAAGACGACTATGCTTGTAAGAGGCGACTAACGAGATCGAGTGGTCAGACTCGCTGACTTGGTTGATGCATGTCATCGTATCCCAAATGTTTATATCGATGCTCATGACATCAATCACTGGATATCTGGCCCAGAATCGATTTTTTACAGACCACCGTCATATAACTATTGCAGAGTGCGGCGTAAAACTTCAAATAGACATAACAATCATTCTCATACATACATATACTCACACATATGATGCAATATGTTTTAATGGACTTACATGGCAGCAGTTTAGAAGGATGAAAAGCGTCTTTCATAAGACAACAGGTGTCCGCTTTCTCAACCCCCGGCATCAGCTGGCACAGTTTTTCGAATTCTTTGTTTTCGTTTTCCCCTTTCTGAAGTGTTCAATCCCGAATTTGAATGAAACTTTTATGGACTAGATTTTATGTGATCATTCACGAAGAATGTTTTTTTTAAAGATATGACGGCATGTTTGGTTTGACAGTCTTTGCTTCACCTAACCACTGTGTTGCAGCCTTTAACGATTGGGACATTTAGCCATTTATCAACAACTATTCAATATTTCATGCGAGTAAATTCTGGGTTACAGTGCTTAATGCTTCTTTGAACAGCACTTCCGGTTAACTTAATGGGGAAGAAACGCAGGTTGTACACACGTTTGCTATGTTGGTGAAACCATAGCTAAGGGTAACAAAAGAATTAGTTTACAACCTCGATGAAAACTCCAATCACCGCCAGGCCATCCCTCTTGGAAATAGCTTCCTCAAATGTGCCGTATCTCTTAGGGTCATAGGACACGAAATGAAGCTGAAACATCATGATGGTGCCGTTGGTATTTTTCACATTATTCAGTTGCTATCATAACGATTGTATATGAATCGCATATCTAAATACTAACAAAGCTAAAGTTGTTATTTTCAAGTAAGGAGGAAAGATATCTTAACATGAGAAATCGTTTAGATGTGGTATACATATCCTCAATATACAGTTATACAGACATTTAAAAGATAATGATGTTTTAACATCGATGTGTCCTGACTGCAAGTTTCACCAAGATGATGAATACCATTAGATTTTAAAATGTCCAGTATACGAAGATATAAGAATCAAATACCTGCCTAATTATATTTATACGTATTAAATACAAAGACAATGTGTACAGTTAATGAACAGCAAAAATAGACACATTCATCTCAGACTAGCAGTTTTTGTTAATAAGATAATTGAAAGAAAGATGATACTTTGAATATTAATAAGACTCAAATGTGTACATCTAATCAGATCCAATATACAAATGGTTCTCCACGACAAATTGTCCTTTCGCAAAATGTCATTGTACATTTGGCCTCAAGGCCACATATTCGAAATAAATATGTCTGACTGTATATGTGATATATTTTCTCAAGCATCGTCATGTACCACTCTGCATAGTTCTGTCAGTGCCAATATCTCTGTCTTAATGCGTGCACTATCAAATCGTTTGATGTCTTATATTTGTTCATCCAACAAACAAGAATAAAACAAAACATGTCAAACATTTGAAATTATGACATTTGACAAGTTCTTTCATTTTAGAAGTACGGAAGTACATTTGCTAATTCATATACGAGTGAATATGACGGGTTTTTTTCTTGGCAGAGACTGCTTGTTGAATCACGCACCTCTGCGGCATAATGTTTCCCATCAACCGTATGTTCAGAGCCGACATTGGGGGTGCCACCCCAGTGGAAATGGAACTGCTTCAAATTGTATTCCTCCTTCCCGAGGATTCCGCCAGTTACAGCTGTTTTTGTAGAAAGCATTCACATGTATGGGAAGGAAACAAAACACGGTTAATGACTTGAAAATGAAAGCACATAGTTCATAGTTTGGACACTTTCCTACACGGAAATGGTAATTATTTATCGTAAAAAAATATTTTTTTAATTATTTTTTTTGGGGGGACGCCAAATGAATAAGACACTTACTTGACTCCTCCGTAATTCCAACTACAAAGGAGTGTCCATTGTTCTGTGCTTCCGGGTCGTGCTCCGTCTTGAAGTCAATTTTAAGTGGATGTTCATGGATGACAGAGTCATATTCAACCAACTCAGTTTCAATATCAACAGGAGACTGGTGGCGACCACCTGCGTTTGGGTACTCCAGGATCCAGTGTGCAGGTCCTTCAACAGACAAGGAGCTGGGAAGTATCCAGTATAGAACTTTAAATTTAAATCATGGCGTGTGACCTTAACGTGGACGAAAAGCACGTCGCTGACATCTCTGGTAACATCCGTATGGTAAAGACCATTTCACGACATACCCGAGGTGCGAAACAACGGTCAGTGGATCTAACTCTTCATTACAGATTGCGGGTAATTTGACTACTGTACCATCAGTGCCCCAGATTGTTGAAAAGGTGATGACTACATCAAATTGTGAGCGCCATGCGACTCTAACTTCAATAGTTCTTTGGTCAGGGCTACAACATTCAAAGCTTTCAAAAGTGTTTTTTAAACGAGACATGTGGAGGACATTTCCAAATATGACGCATCGGTGGTTTCTAATTATGTCAGATTCAATTTAATTTTGTTCAGGTGAACAAATGACTTGCCTTTGAGTGTGATTGTGATGGGTGCCACCGATTGGGAAATATACGTTCACCTTTTCGCGAACATATGCTATCATCACTATTTGATTGTGATTGACAAACAATAAGTCAGTTGCTTATGATATAGTCGCAATCGTGGTTAGGCTATGCTTTCAGTGGAAATGTCTTATGATTGTGGTAATGGTTATGTCAATTTCATCGTTACTTCATTTTGGTTTGATAATCAGAGGAAGCTATTTTAGCTTAAAAAACTAAAAGGAGTTCGTGAAAGCTCTTACCGTCGTCAGGTCCGTAGCCGAATCCCATGATGATGTTTACGACGTGTAACAGTCACTGAAGATATTGAGGTGTTTTAGGGCTCATATTTAAGCTACACAGAGGCCACGCCCCTTCGCTTGTTCAAAAATATCAGTCAGTATTCTGCATAAGCATGTTGGTTAGTGGTATGGATGCAGATAAGCTGCATCCTGTCAACATCCGAATCACGTAAATTAATGACAACGGGCGATGAATGATTCATCTTTTAACAGACTGTTTCACCTTATTTCTTCCCATCTACTAAGTGATAAAGCCCTCTCTTTCTGCGATTTCTGGGAGTAATAATAAGAAAAAGGAGTAGATTTCCACAGTGTCAAATTCCACACGTGCCTGTATTCTCATATCGCAACATTTTGTACCCCAACAGTGCATCACTGGCTCTGTAAATATTATTCTCATCTCCCTGGAGAAGAGACAAGAAGAACGATGATGCCCCAAGTCGAATTGCACAATTTCTGCCTTCTACCATTCATTTTCCTCCAAAACTACTTGCCACCTGGAATACTTCCCAGCACATGGCGATACAAATGAGACAATGGCGGGGATAAAAATTACTATAAGTTTAATTGTACTAAAGGTGTGCTTCAAGGATGGCACTAGAATAAATTACATAACCATTCACAAATAGAAATATCATGCACAAAAATCTTTTTTGGTGTATGACATTTTGTGGTTTCCTTTCGAAAAGTGTCAAGTTTCTCTATCTGCTATCATCTTAGGCACCTACCACTTCTCATTAAAAAAGAACATACTTGAAAAAATAAGTATGCTTCTGAGTGTTGTAAACTCCACTGCTACCGTGGGGACTCGGATTTAATTAGGAGCGCAGGTACTCAGGGGGGTCAGGCCCGGTGTTTTGCGTTGATGGCGTGTTATCTTACCCGACGACGGAAAACGTTGATTCGAATATCAAACATTGGAATGTCAGACACAGATTTGATTATTTACGATTTTTCGTAATATAGCTGACTAACAAACAAACTGGTTACGCCAAACAATATATTATCTCGCTTGATTTCTAATTTAGTTTTGGCATGCTAGCAATGCCGGGTAATGTGATTTTTTTAACAACACTAATAATATTCGTAATGTGGAAGTAAATATAACGTGAATTGTATTTTTGATGTTTCGCATCTGAATTTGGAATCCAAAATATATGTGAGGTGAGGTGAAATTGGGTTTAACGTCGCGTCCAAGATTATTGCACTTATACATCTCGTCATAAATATCGCACCACCCACTTTTTTTCACTAAGTAAAACTGGATCTTCAACCTCATAAAAAGGGTGCTTAGAAAAACACATTAAACTGTTTATATGGCCTCATGTGAGCGTTCAGTCAGACAATCGACAACACAAGATCGAATTTGAGCACTAATTGAGGGTTGAATTGTAGCAAACTAAAGTTCACTAAAATCACCGTGAAATAAGGTGAAATAAGTATGGTTGCCGGAGTCGTTACATCAGACACACAACACAGTTCACATTTTATTAATGTCGAACACCCTAGTAAGGTCCACAATGACTGGCTTACTCAGTATCTTGTGTAACCGCCTCGCACTTGGATAACGTGTTCTACACGCCGTCTCATGCTGGTCACCAGACGTCTGAATCTCCGTTGGGGTATCTGCTGCCACTGATCATGCAATGCATGGGTCAATTCCTGAAGGTTCTGAACTGGAGGATCCCTTGCTCTCACCCTACGTCCCAAAATGTCCCACAAATGCTCAATAGGATTAATGTCTGGACTTATGGCAGGCCAGGGTAGTGTCTCAATGGCGTTGTGTTGGAGATGCTGAACAACAGACTTTGGGCTTCGTCTGGCTTGGCGTACGAGAGCACGATCTTCCCTGTCATTGGTTTTTCTGGGACGTTCAGACCTCGGTGCATCCTTCACTTCACCGGAAGCAGTATGCTTACGTATTAGTCTCCTGATGACAGTGTGATTAATGTTCAGTTGTACTCCAATAGCACGACATGACATACCAGTCTGGTGCATACCAATAATTTGCCATCTTTGGTTCAGAGGCACTGGAGGCTTGGACATTTCACTGGTTGGTCAAAAATAAGCTTAATTTATGCCTAAAACCAAATTTTAGCTGTGTCTGTCAACATAACATACGCCAAAAGAGGCTTTGTGCATACTGCATTTTTAGCAAACCGACCCCCGCTACAAGCATGCTCAACGCAAGCATGCACGTGCAGCTCGGAACAGGGTGTGTTTGTGATATTATGTTCACAGATGGTGTAGTATATGAAATATGTACTTGTAGTTTAAAAAACCGAAAATTATATTTTCTACTTTTACTTTAAATTGTGTGGTGCGATATTTATCACGAGGTGTATATATTGCGACGTGCATGCAAGTGTGTGTGTGTGGCTGCTTGTGCTAGTTCGGACTGATGCCGATTTATAGTGCTAGCGAACTGAGATACCATGCCGCAGTTTAACATGAATACCCAACTCAGACTCAGTATACTGACTCGGAGCCGACCAGTCCTTGTTTTATCTTTTAACGTCTTTTGGTATGACGCGACCGGGGATTGAACCCCAGACCTTCCGTTCTCCGGGCGGACGCCCTACCACAAGACCACGGAGGCGGTCCCTAAAGTATATGTACATCCTTATATATGTTTAATCACTTTGTTAATACTCTACTAAGTCAAACAAAAACCGCATGTTCTTGAGTATTACATGCAAACAATGGAATTGAAGCCTTAAATATAAATAACATTCTCAGATAAAAGTCAGTTACCCAAAATGACCAACAATATCCATGAACCGCCAACAATTTCGCATTTCTATATGAACACAATTCATACAGGTTCTTCGGTTATAGGAAAGTGTTGCAGAACGTAGACTTGGCAGCAGTTCATGGCGTTAATTACAGTTCATGGCGTGACTGCCAAGACTCAACAATCTGCTACCAGTCTATAGGTAAAATGTCATAGGTAACTCCTCTAACCACCTTCGTCAATTCTTCAAATATGGACCAAAATATCGTCAGCAGCCTCCCAACAATTGGGATCACAAGAAATATAATCATAATGGACGCAGTCGTAGCACGTGCCAAAAATGGGTCAGAAGAGAAGAGAAACCTGATGAAAGTCTTTATTAAGTTTAACTTAAGTTTCAGGTATATCGATGATCTGATATTGTTCAATAGCCCTAAAATAGTTCCTTCCACTGATTTACCCACCTTAACTAGAAATAGAGTTGACCAGTGGGACCGCCTTATCTGGGGTTTTTTTTATATTTAGATCTAAGCATAAAGATGTTGAGCGTCAAAAATCTTTCCACAAGGCTGTACGACAGCAGGGGTGACATTTGCTTTCTTTTTTGAAGCCCCATCGGTGGCTGCATCGTCAACGGTGTCAAGGTCACAAAGTATGGCCACAACTGCGATGGAGACATGTTTGGTTTCGTGACGTTTTATGCTTTGGTGTGCGGGTGGTAGACGTCGTGTTTGCAGGCGTCGCGGATAACGTTATGCACAAACCTGCATATAGGAAGTGGTCAGATTTGGTGGTGGTAGTGTGATGATGTGGGCGGGCATCGCCTACACTAGTAGAACAAACGTGGTGCACGCTCAGGGGAACATAGTGGGTTAATTGATCAACGATGCGAGCATGTCAGCAACAACCACAGAACCTCCGGCTGTTGGCACAAGCACTGCAGGCAGATTCGGTGAACATTGCCCAGCCACTATTCGGGATCTGATCGCTTCCATAGGAGGACAATGCCAGTCAGTTTTAGTCTCTAATGGCGAACACACAAGATATTGAGAAGCGATGACCCTCATCTTGAAAGTCTACTGTTCCATGTGTGCCATATGGAAGCTGAGTCTATGACAATGATGTGTGCCAATTTTAAACAATCTTATTTAGCTATTGATTGTTTATATGATATATAAGATACACATCTGAAAACACCTTGGGTTTCTGTTTTTGCAGAGTACATATCTATGGTCACCACGTTAAGCGGCATGAACCCAATGGATCAAGGAATACAGTTGAGCTTGTGGGGAACACTTCACAAGTGTTGATGTACAATCGAGAATTCCCTTTCTTCCAAGATTTTAGAGAGTGTCATACGACTCTTGCTCAGAAGTCGTTTGATCATGTTTACGATATTCAAGGACCCAGTAACGCTTTCAAAAGACTTAATCGTAGACATATGGTGGATATTTCCAAATTTGACGTTTCAGTGACAAAAATGATGCCCGATGTAATTCCCCATTTTCATTTGTACCATTGGTTCTCGTGGGTTTTTT